GAGGACAAAGGGAAGGTACAGTAATGGAGGAAAGAAGGATGAAAAAAATGCAGTCATTGTATTCAATACACAATATCTAAAAAATGAACTATGTACTTGTAGGTGGAAGGGAGTAAATTGGGGAAAGCTAAGGAAGGAGTGACACTGACCAAGAAGCATTGTACTCATAACCTGACTGATGGAATTGTAACCCCTTTGTACAACTCCTTAAAAATAACAAAAAAACTTATAAAAAAAAAAAAGAAATAACAAAGCTACAGAAGAAAATACTTGCAACTGTCCAGCAAAGAACTTATTTTGAGAACATTTATAAAGAGCTACTAAACATACAACCCAATAAGAAAAATTTAACAAAAATAAAAATTAGGCAAAAGACTTGATACTTCACCCAGAATATCACTTGACTGGCAAATGAACACAAAGGAAGACATTAGCCACTGAAGAAATGCCATGTAAAACATGAGATAAAAAATGAGATACAATTCTAAACCTATTTAAATGGATGGCTAAAGTAATAAATACCGCTAGTGTGAAGTGCTGAGAAAGATGCAGAATAATTGGAACTCTGGTGGGCATGCAAAGTGCTATTATACTCTCTGGCAAAGGGTTTGGCAATCATTTATAAGATTATGTTAACCATGTAGCCCAGTGAGCCAATTTACTGAATATGAATAAATGAAAGCATGTTTATATAGAACTCTGTGCTTATAGCCATTCTGCTCTAATGGCCAAACAACTTGATAGAGGAATGGATAAGTAAACTTGACATAGCCATGTAATTAAGTGCTATTCAATAATAAAGAAAGAGCAGACTACTGATATAATACCTTAAATGTTTTTCAAAGACATTATGCTCAGTGAAAGAAATGAGTGTCAAAGATTATAGGCTGTATGCTTCCATTTATGTGAGATTATTAAAAAAGAAAAAACAATAGTGGAGAACAGGTCTTGTTTGCCAAGAATCAGGTAGCAGATAGTACAAGGGAGTTCTTTGCTGATGTGGAACGATTCTGTTTCCTAATCATGGTAGTGGTCAGGTGAATGTGTACATGTGTTCAAAACTCATAGAATTTTAAACCCTCAAAAAACTCATCTAATGAAAAATAACACAAAATAAGTATCAATGCTTCTATGAAGCAACTGGACCTCTTACCACATTTCAGCTAGGAATCTGAATTGTTACAGCTTGTTAGAAAACAATTGCATAATATCTCCTGAGGCTGAGCTTCTATATACTTTATTCCCAGAAATACAGTCACCAAAAGACATGCATGAATAATGATTATAGCACTGTGTAATAGCCCAGACTTGGAACTACTAAGGTCCATGAATATTACAATGGAAAAATAAAGCTCTATAAATGTTTGCATAATGAAATACTGTTGCAGTGATAAACTGTTACCTGTGACAATATGAATGTTGTACAAAAAGCTGATGAGTGAAAAAATCCAGACAAAAGAATGTGCTCTGTGTCAGTGATTCTCAAGGTCCTTTGAGGAAGTCTACAAGGTCAGGCGGACATTATGACATTACATATTAAGATGTTCTTTGTCCTTTTGCTCTCAATTCTTCATCTAGTACATAGTGGAGTTTGAAGAAGAGAATTTATATAATAATTTGAATAGAGAAAAGTTTAATATGTTAATATTAACTATGATGGGGCAACTATAAGGGAATTAAGACGTTGTAATGGATAACCTAGAAATGAGAGTAGAAGGATGGAAAAACTGGAAGAGTCCTGGCCTTCAGCTGGGATTCAGACCTCATCAGAAAAAGTCTGAAGTTCAGTGTATGACAGAAAAGTTTGTTGGTTTTCACTGAAAATACTCTGCAGAGTGGGTACCAATATGTAGGCCTACAAGTAAGAAATCCACTTGAGTATGCATTTGCACAAAATCAGAGCCAGTACTTGCAAATAGGAACCTCCTTTCCAGAGTTCAAACAGCCAACCTTCCTTCTGGATCTCAGCCTCTGTTCAAACAGCCTAGGAGACTTACTGAGAATCTACCTGTTGGTGTGCTACTGGAACTAAATGGAACCTTTTTGAAGGAAGTCTGATTGCAGCTCATTGGATGATAGAAAAGTTCGCTGAGTACCTGTGGGTATTCACCATACTCCTGCAGCTGCACCTGTAGGAGGGAGAAAAACAAATAGATGCACACAAACCAGAAAGGCAAGTGCCTTCCTCCTGTGATAATCCTCCACTACCCTCTACTGACAGAGCTTATGTATGCATGCATCATGCCAGCTACAAAGGAAAATCACTTTATAGGGGTCTTTTCCATTATTGCAGAAGAAGTAATGAAAAGTTTCAAGCTGAGAGGTAGTAAGTAGGTAATGGATACCCAACATGATAGTGAGGAGTTACTACTAATAAGCTATTGTAATATTAGTTTATAAATTGTTAGGTTTTTAAGTCTCCTCTTAACGTACATAGTAAATGTCAGTAGTTCAAAGCTGAAGAAAGAAAAGCTTTTGAAGTCTTCAATTTCTGAACATGTAAAGGAATCATAAATCAGACAATTTGAGAACTACTGCTTTATAAACAGTTGGAACTCAGAAAGCTGGGAGTCTATGAATTTAACCATTTATTAGGATTTTCCTTTTGTTACCTATTCTAGATCATATTTTTGCTTCTCTTTAATTATTCCATCTGATGCTCTTATAATCTTCCTTTCCATACAATTTTAGAGTTTAATTTTTTAATATATCCATGAAATAAGTCTAACTTGTTATTTCTGTAAAACCTACTGTCTCAGATTTTTCTTCTTCTCTGCTTCCTAGTCATGGCCATGGTTAACAGTTACCGGCTGTATACTGCATATGTTCCTGAGTCATATACTGTACCTCATTTTTTTCTTTTGTTACTTTGGTGAGCCAACAGCTACATAATCACCTTGGCTCTTTTAATAATAAGTACAGTTGGGCTGGGAAGGTGGCTCAGTGATAGAGTGCTTGCCTCGCATGCATGAGGCCCTGGGTTCGATTCCTCAGCACCACATAAGCAGAAAAAGCCGGAAGTGGTGCTGTGGCTCAAGTGGTAGGGCACTAACCTTGAGCTGAAGAGCTGAAGGACATCGCCCAGGCCCGGAGTTCAGGCCCCACGACCAGCAAAATAATAATAATAATAGGTACAGTTGCTTGGGAAAAGAGATAATGTATGACACAAGATGAGTCAGCTGAATAATATAAGAAATTATTTGAACTTATATACTGGCTGTTCCTGACTTTAAAGTCTTTTTCTGGTAGGCATACAGGATGAATTCTCCCATAGAAACACTGAATTGTCTTGGCTTGATCATCTATGGTCACCCAAAACATAGCTTTTTACACATGAATAATCATCCACTGTCACAGTTTTAATGGAAAACTTTTCAGAAGTAGTATTAGGAATTTTAAAGAATGTTGTCTTTTTTGCAGCCTAGACAACTGATCTTCTAAGCCCTATCTTTTAGCTCATAACTTTGAAGATAAGGCTATAAAGGACATCAAACTGTGTGGGTCTTCTAGTAGATTTGAGATAAACAATGGGTGAGAGTCGTGGTTATTCCACTGTGAAGCTATAGGTTTTCTGGATCAGAGATGACTAGATAGTGAGATAATTGCTGAGAAGTAGTAAAGAAGAGGGAGGCTAGGTATGGTGGCATATTCCTAGTAATCCCAGTACCTGGGAGGCTAAGGCAGGAGGATTACTAGTTTGAGACAAACTCAGACTAGTTACATAGTGGGGTAGAGGAATAATGAAAACTATTTGCTGCTTCTTTTTCCCCTAGGCGAGAGGAGAGTCAAGGGTTGCTGGGAGTCTCTGCTCGTCCTTTTAGACCCTTTGTCATCTTTTTTTTAATTGATTTTTTTATTGTGAAAATACCATACAGAGGGGTTACAATTACATGGGCAAGATAATGAATACATTTCTTACCAAGCATTGTTGCCTCCTTCTTTGTTTCCCCTTCCCATCCTTTTAACCTGCCCTTTTTCTTTTGTTCAGTTTCCAGGATGCAACCCTAACATAGTATGCTCAGTAAGTAGGATTCTTACAGGAGTTTCAGAGTTTTTCATCTCCTTTTACTCCACTCCCATTGATAGGTGATAGCTGAACAAAAGGTTTGAGACGCTTTGGAGAGCAAGGGGGAAAAGGAAGAGAGGGAAAGCAAGAGCAACTATTCTAATTATGGATACAGTTATGGATAAGAAAGGATTATACACATATTCCATTACATCTCTCCTGATACCGATATCTGATTGCTCATTGCTGTTACTATTTTCTGGTGCTGTATTATACTCTAGCAGAAATCACCCAGCTAATGAAGTTGAAAGAAGAGACCATGTTACATAAAAAAATGCTAGGAATAGAACGTTTACAGTGTTCATTTTGTGTAAATGTATTTCAGGTATATTTGTTCTGACATCTTCATGTTTAGACCTAATCTATGAAAACAAGATGTATATTGGTATTTCATTTACAGAGGTGGCAACAGCAGTTGGGTCATTGGAGGCTGAGCTGTGGAGCCTTCAGTCAGGCTTGCTTGTTGTCTCTGTCTTGGCTTCCCATCTGTAACATGTGGTTCTAAGTTTCTGCTTTATAAAATAACTAAGAAGATTAAGACTTGGTTTATAATAGGTATCATTAAATGCAACTTATCTTCATGGAAGTTACAGTTTTGTTTGGATTTAAACTTTGTGTTCCTGACCTTTTTTTATACAATTGGATTCTTTAAATGCATGGAGTTTGGGATTGATAATATAGGTTTAATTGATTCTCCATTAAAATGAATCAACCCAAAAACCCTCATAAGGAGGAACTGCCTAATTTTAAGATTGCAACTTTTAAAATAATTTTAATATCAGTGTATTACTTTAGGTACTGTTTATTAAACATAAAACTTAAAGTGCAAAGGAATGAAAACAAGAGTCTCACCTTTAGAACACTCCATTTCTATTATTCTGTCACCCTTTTACTGGATATCCATTAATATAAAAGGCATTTGCTTTGTCTCCAGGTGTAAAACAAAGGTCTATCCAGATAATCTTCCTACAACAAGTGTGGTGATTGTTTTCCACAATGAGGCATGGAGCACACTTCTGCGAACTGTCCATAGTGTCATTAACCGTTCACCAAGACACATGATAGAAGAAATTGTTCTTGTAGATGATGCCAGTGAAAGAGGTAAATAGTCATTTTAATGCCAATAATATGCTATCTTTTGACTAATTGCTAATTGCTACCTAATAGTTTTATATAAATTTCTAGTTTATTCTAAAAATATTTATAGTATTTGAACTCATTCACACATAAAGTATACCATTGTGAAATTTATAAAGTGTTTTAGGTGTATAATTTATGTTGTATCTGAATCTTATTTTCAAAAGAAATGATGCTTTAAAATAAAAATGCTGGGGCTGGGAAGGTGGCTCAGTGGTAGAATGCTTGCCTTGCATGCATTGAGGCCCTGGGTTTGATTCCTCAGCACCACATGAGCAAAAAGAAAAAAGCTGGAAGTGGCGCTGTGGCTCAAGTGGTAGAGCGCTAGCCTTGAGCTGAAGAGCTGAGGGACAGCGCCCAGGCCCAGAGTTCAAGCCCCACGACCGGACCCCCCCCCCGCAAAAAACTAAAAATAAATAAAATAAAAATGCTTATGCAGAATAATTTTTAAAAATTGAAGCATGTAATTTTGTTTGATTTCTCTGTGTAAAGCTTCAGTTGTAGGTTAGTGGAGTCAGCTAGATTCTTCTTATAGCCATACATGACGAGATTTAGTTCAGTGTCTAATAAGTGGTACATTTGACAACCAAATGGAATCTGGACTGGAGGAGGCTTGCTTAGTTTTCTAGATTCTTAAGGTCTCTCTGATTTCTTATTTCTAAATTTTTGGAATGTCTATAACTAGCTGCATAAAATGATTAAGCAGAGTGAAAAAGAAGTATGTAATATGACTAACCTCAAAATAAATGTCTGTGACTCTTGCCTAAATGTCTTCTAAGAATCTCAGTTTTTTAACATTCTGTGAAACTCTCTTTTTTGAAAAGATATTAATGAGGTGCATTGGGCCAGCATAATTTATTTCAAATCGTTCTTTGAAATTCACACTGCAGAGTACTACAGAAAAGATTGACTTAATCTTTCAGTAAAGAAACTTGCTAAAGTTTCTCAGTCATTTCTCAGTCACCTCTCCTCCCCACAGCAGCACGTATGTCCAGTAATCATTAATATAATGTCTATAGCTTTTACTGCTTTTTATTCCTTCCTTAACATGCTTTAAAATTGTTGATGGCCTATCAAATTGATGGCTTACCCTCTTTTGTTAGGTTCCTCAAATTAATTTTTTGTCTGTTTTCATTGTATTTGCTGAGTTAGTCAGATATTAACACTCTTTCCTTCTTGTGCCCATGCTAAATATATGCACTTAAAAGTAAGTCTATAGCCTGTAGTTCATGCTTTATAATCCTGCTTACTCAAGAGACTGAGATCAGAGGATCATGGTTTGAAGCCATCCCAGGCAGTAAAGTCCAAATCTCCAGTTAACCAGTTAAAAAAAAAAAAAAGGAAAAAATCTACAAACAACTAGAATGGAGACATGGCTAAAGTGATATAGTGCCTGCTGTGAGAGAAAAAGCTAAGTAAGAGCAAGCCCTGAGTTCAAGCTCCATCCAGGAATACATACACATAGTAAGTTTAGTCACATGACATTGATTATTGGGAGTAATTTATGTATTAATAACAATATAAACCTTATTTTGCCAGACTGCAAATGCAAAGGAAGAATATGATATAGTTCTTCTCTAGGCTTTATATTTTGCCTTCTTAATCTAATGAAAGAAATAATGTGTAATCACATAAGACAACATAATTCGCTGTCAATATGAATGAAAGCTGTTATGAAAAAAGAATACGTCACTTACAAAAAAGAACTGCCAGGTGCTGGTTGCTCACACCAGTAATCCTAGCTACTCAGGAGGCTGACCCTGGGCCAGAAGGTCCATGAGGCTCTTATCTCCAAATAAATACCTAAAAGCTAGAAGTGGAGCTGTGGTTTTAAGTTGTAGAGTGCGAGCCTTGAACACAAAAGCTCAGGGACAGAAGCAGGCCCTGAGTTCAAGACCTGGAACACACACACACGCACGCACGCACGCACGCACACAAAACCATTGATTTCTTTGCTCTCAGAGAGACTGCTTTAAAAATTATTTGCAGTGGACTTGCCACAAGTAAAGAGTCTTTTGTCTGGTTGTATTACTGTGGACAACAGAAATATAAGCCTTATATGGAAAATTTTTTGCTGGGAGTTAATCCTTTTAGAAAATTCATCTAATTTTGCATAATGATATACAATCAGATAACAACAGTTCTAAGCAATGTATCTTTAGGTGATTTTGTCTTTGTGCAAATATAGAATACACTTATCAAAAGATGTCTATGATATTATTAAATAATGTAATCGTATGTACCTCTATCGCTTAGGCTATCTGTCATTGACCAAAATGTCATTATGAAGCACATAACTATGCAAACATCCAGCAAGTGAGTTGTGCTCAGTTCACTTGTGTTCACTTTGCTAATTTAAATGTTTTTCTGAAATAAAATGAATTATTTTTCCATTCTCTCCTTTGATTTTTCTCTTAATTTGTAAGTGGCTACAAAGGCTATATGAAGAGTAGTAAATTTTGGCAGAGTGTAGCCTCATCAAAGACATTCATGTACTCATAATTCGAAACCACATGTAAAAAGAAACAGCTCAGAGAGATAAAGAGTGCATGTTTTCTCTCATATGCAGAAGCTAGATCTAAAACAATGGGAAATGATAAGTTATACAAGACTCTAGGCACTCACACACAGTGAGACCAGAGGAAGGTACTCTTAGGAGAGGATCACAAAGGCACAAGGCCTACGTACATCTGATCATATAAAATAATACTTATCAAAGTGAATGCCAGAAACTGGAAATGAGGATTTTTCTTCGTATTGTTTTTGTTTTCTTTTCATTTTGTCTTTTTGTTCATTTATCTGTCTTTGGGAGGGCAAGAGAGAGGAACAGAAATGGATGGTCAAAAAATAAACAAAGGCAGCAGCGGTACTCACTAGACACTATGTTGAAAATGAACTATACAACTTGTGGGCAAGACTGGGGGAAAACCGGGAGAGAGCAAGAGAAGGGGTGACACTGTCCAAAAAGAAATGTACTCTTTACCTGAGACTTACGTAACTGTAACACCTCTATATGTAACCTTACAGTAACAAAAAAATGAAACTTACATATCTCAGTTCTTGAATTCCCTTTTCTCCCGCAATCCTTACTTAATATCCAAAATTGACTGAATGTGTGAGTCAGAAGATGTGGACAGATGTCTACTTCCTTGTTCCATCAGAGGTTCAGTCACAAGCACTCCCGAGAGATACTCTAATTCTCCTTTGTCTTCCTGCCTAGAAATTAAGAATCTATACCCAGGTATGCTAGTACGTGCCTGTAATCCTAGGATACCACAAGTTCAAGGCCAGTCTTCGGGTACATAGTGAAACCCTATCTCAAGAGAGGAGAGAGGGGAAAGAGGGAAAGGAAAAGGAAAAGCCAGGTCATACAGGATTTAGTGAATGAAGAGGCATGATCATGTTTGTATGCCCCAAGCTCACTGTCTATACACTATATTGAACAGTTGGAAAGAGGTACAAGTACATGCAGAGAGACTAGATTGGTTGATTTAGCAATCCATATGAGAAATGTGTAACTCAGGAATAGGATAAAGCAGACTTAAACATTAAAGCCAATAGTTTGAGTCTCTAAACAATGATGCCAAACAAAATTCCATTAGAAAATTTTCATTGATAGTAAACCTGCAGTTATAAAAGCTACAAAAAAAAAAGACAGTCTCAAATACCAGAAATGAGGACCTAGATTCTTGAGACATTCTTACTCTGACCACCTCTTAATCCATGATAGAATGATACTTAAAAATCCATTTATTGGATAGCAGTTGTAAAGGTAATTCTAGTAAATACAATTCAACCTTATTTTTTAGGTGAAATAGTAGCTTCTAATAATAATAATTTAACCTCTCATAGCTATTCCCTATAAAATGAGGCATGATCATTCATACTTTCCCACCTAGTCCCAAGTCCATGATTCTGTATCATCCTAAAGGAAAACATGTATTCTAACTTTATTGTGTGAAAGTCACAAAGATCCAAAACAAGAGATGTTAAAAAAAATTATAAAATACACAAAAAAATTAAATTAAATTTAAAAAAATAAAATAAAACCTAAAAAAAGAGAACCTCTTGTGAAAGACTTTATAGTCAAAAAAAATTATAAAATAACTTTTTATCATACCACAGAAGTTGACATGTTTCATTTTGTTCATAGGCAGGACAAAATATCACAGCTTTCAGACTTAGGAATTAAATTGCTTTGGTTTTCAAGAAACATTTTAAGTATCTACTATTTTTTGGAAAAACTTGTTAGAAGACACATTTTTTTATAAGACATTTAACCTAGACTATGGTATTCAAGTATAGTATTACTCTGCCACATGGAATTCTGACAAATTCTAGATACAGAGTATAGATTAGTTCTCAAATTTTGGTTTTTGAGATAGGGCTTTGCTACATTGAAACTTGCCTGCGTACCCTAGGCAGATGTCCAATTTACAATCCTCCTGCATCTGCCTCCTGAGTGCTGGAATGATAGGTATGCACCAATATACCTTTCAAAATATTCTTGGCCATGGATTAAAAAGTTGAAATTGAAAAAACATGGGCCTCAATCTTGGATCCAGGTCTTACCAGTTGTGCCACCTTGATCAAATTCATGTAATGGTCCAAGCCTTAGATTTTCATTTCCTATTCCTGAGATTCATAATCTCACAGAGTTCTTGTGAATATTAAATGAGAAAACATATAATGGGTTTAACATATTAGTCACAAAATGTTCTCTGAGATTGCCACTGCTCCCATTTTTTTTTTACTCAGAATGTAGTTTGATCTTATGATCTTGATTTGTACAATATGCTAACAAATTTTTACATTCTCTTTTTAGCCTAAATATTAAGGAAATATGTTAGCAGAAATGGAAAATACTAGTAATCTGATGTGGTAGAACAGAGAAATCTTCTTCTTCATTGTCATATCCCTGATTATTATTGCCTCATTCTGATGTTGCCAGTTCAACAGATGATCATTTCACTCTTATCTGTCACTCCCAAAAAGTAGGAAGCATCTTGGTCTCAACTGTTAACCTGTGAAGAGTCCCTTAATGAATAACCTTTATTTCTGTGAATTGCAGAACTTCATAGTCATAGAGGAAATTATCCTCATGTCTTTATATAGAAAATAGTTGGAAAGATACCAGGCCATATCATCATTAGTAGCCTCTGTGCTAATCCAAAAGATCTTTTATCTTTCCTTTGCGGAAGCCCCACTTTTTCTACTGTTTAAGTAAGATATAAGCTGGTAGGATGTTCTTACTTTATGGGCATAAACTCTATCTGACTTCTTAAGGTAGCTCTCCCTTTTGCCTTTTCTCTCTTCTCTCTTTAATTGCCTTTTATTAAAAAATAAATATTTTCCATAGACCCACCTATTTGTTAAGGGTCTCTCTTTGACCTTGCAGTTACACTCCAGTATTTCCCTTCTGAACTTAATATCACTGCCTTCTGTTTTTTTTAAAAAAAAAATCACCATAATCAAAAGATTATGGTGACCAATATGACAGTTTGTTTCTGCTTCTAAAGAAATCTCACAACTTTGATATATATAACTTTCAATATAACAGTTGTGATATGTTGGTGTATTATTTCTTCTCTCTGTTGAGGTGTGGATTTAGTGCTCTTGAGGAATTGTGTAATATGTCTGTCCTTCATGATGCTTTCTTACTACCATGTGAGACATAGTAAAGACAGCTCTAGTCTATACTTCTGTGAAATAAAAAGGCACCCTTTGGAAATCTGTTGGCAAACCTTACTAGGAATGCTCAGTTAATACATGTTGAAGAAATGTAAACTAAAAATGTTTACATCGGAGTAGTACCAGTTCACTCTTTTCTTTTCATGTTACTGTTCTGTTAATTTTTTAGACTTTCTGAAAAGACCTCTAGAAAGTTATGTGAAAAAACTCAAAGTGCCAGTTCATGTAATTCGAATGGAACAACGTTCTGGATTGATCAGAGCTAGATTAAAAGGAGCTGCTGTGTCCAAAGGCCAAGTAATCACCTTCTTAGATGCTCATTGTGAATGTACAGCAGGTTGGCTGGAGCCTCTCTTAGCCAGGATCAAACATGACAGGTAATTTTTTGGAGTCTGTAAATTTGTTCTCAGTACTTTTGTCCTAAACTGCATGATGAGTTGTGAAATTCTTTTTTGTTGTTGGTGGTGGTGGTCATGGGCATTGAAACGTGGGCTTTGAATCAGGGCTGTGACCTTCAAATCTCAGCCTCTTGAGTAGTTAGGATTACTAGGCATGAACCACCAGCATCCTGTCCTTTATTTTTAATAAATACAAAAATAACTTCATCCCAAGTTGTCTTTTAAAATATTCTGAAGCTTATACTAAAGAAAATGTGAAGACAACCAGATGCTTAAAGTCTGGTAATTTACCAGTTATGCAAATTACCTTGCTGTTGGAGATGGATTGGAAAGCATGTTGTTTGTTAGAATATCTACTAGATGCTATGTTTGCCAAACATAACTGATGGACAATGAACTTCTTGAGGAAGGCAACATAAAACACTTTACTTTTTGTTCACCTTTTTAATAATAACTTTATTATTAAGGTGTTAACAGAGGGTTTAAGATACATAATTCAGTTGCTTTTAGTACATGTTTCCTTGGGTTTTACAGATACCACCACTATCTAATTGTACAGCTTTCTTATTTTTACTTTTTTTTTCCTTTGGAGGGGTAGGGGAGAAGATCTTGGGTATGTAGCCCACACTGGATTCCAACTCATAATCCTCCTGCTTCAACTTCCTGAGTGCTAGAATTAGAGGCATGTGCCTCTAATTACCTTTTTGGTAGCCTTGAAAATCCCGTACTTTGTTCCTGGTCTCTAAGGCTCTGGGGTCTGGGGAAAGCAGGTTAGTATACTCATATCTTCGTTGGAACTCAGCTTCAGGCACAGAAGTACAAGAGTTGAGAGAAGCACATTGTGTGCTCAAGTGATATGGTAGTATTACTGCAGTGTCCCTTATGGTTGTAGTCTCCCTTGTTATATGTATTACCTATTGCCTGGCTGTCTTAATTATTGTGTTTCAGCGAATAACCTGGTTTCAATCTACTAGACTTATTTCAGTTGGATTTCTGCTTGTCATGCAGTTTGAGCTAAAGGCTATCTGAATTAACATTAGCATTTAGAGATTAGAAAGGTAAATATTTACTAGTGAAGTGACAGCTAGAAGGAGTTGTCTATTGCATCTGTTCTGTTTGTTAGCAAGTGCTACCTGTATTTTTTCCCTTTCAAAGATAAATAAGAAAAACCAGCATTGGGCCAAGAAGAAAATCTAGTAGCTTTAGGAAAGAGTACACTGACCTGAAGAATGAAAAAGAATGTAATATCTCTATGAATAATAGATGACTGACTTAGAAAACATTTGCGTGGATGAATATGTAACCTTTAGAAACAGGAACTTAGACCCATAGAGAGGAAGCAGTGTAGGTGATAATAGAGGGAATTAACCAACATACAATACACAGTTTGGACCATGTGGTTGGTTAGGTATCCTGAATAACTTCAACTGAAAAAATGAAAATGCTGCATAAAAATACAAAAAATAAATGTATCATTGAGTTGGCATAAAAATAGGAAATTTGAATATCTTAAAATGAGAGCAAATGAGTAACCCATAATAAGGTACATGATTTATACTGAACTTTAGGATTCTAAGCCGCCGCCTTCTTTTTTTTTTATTGTGAAAATACTGCATAGAGGGTTTACAATTACATGGGCAAGATACTGAGTATATTTCTTATCAAGCATTGTAGCCTCCTCCTTTGTTTACCCTTCCCATCCCTTCCCAGCCTCCCCCCGCCCCCCCCCCACCCAATCCTCCCCCCACCACCAAAGTTGTAAAGTTCATTTTCGACATGACAACTTCTCATTGTTGCAACGGGTCCACCTGTATCCTTATTTAAATGACTTGTTTTTCCCCTTCCCCTCCACAAATTATACCAACATCAAATACAGTGAAAGCAGGGGTTATACTGTGGGGGAGGGACATACAAAGCAACAAAGAAATAATCTTATAAATGCATTAGAGACAAATGCATGAAAGAAAAAAAAACATTTAAATACATATCTTAGGGTTCATTTTCCTAACATCACCTTATCTGACCTTTTCTGCTTGACTCATACATATACTAGATATTGCAAATAAGGGAAACCATGGGACCTATGTTTCTTTGGGCTTGGCTCACTTCACTTAATATAATTTTTTCCAAGTCTAAGCCTTATTCTTGATAAATGAACAAGATAAAATAATAGGAGGGGAAAATCCAGGGCCTTCCCAAGGTGGGAAGATTATTAGCAGTCACCTGTATAAAGTTGATCTTGAAATCTATACCTCAGTGTAAGAAAGAATGAAAAATAGGTTTTACCACATCAAAGAAAACTTAACTGTCTCAGGCTTGGTATTAGATGAAAAAGGGGAAATGATTCTACCATACTAATTTGTAAGAAGATACAGAAAAGCAGAAAACAAACTCCTTAAGAGCCAGCATAACTTTTAACACACACACACACACACACACAAAAAACCTATGAGGTAGATTATAGCTCAGTTCAACTCATGAAGGAACAAAAAAAAAAATCTCACAATACTCAGTCCATCTATTGACACATACACAAACACACACAAAAATATATCATGACCAATTGCTTTGGCTTAAAATTAACAACCCAATTTATGTAATGTACCCTATTTAACTATTTTAAAGACTATGATTATATACTTACCAAAGATCTTTAATCACTTCCAATTTTTAGGAAATACTTAATAGACTATTATACATATGAAAATTTATGAGTCCAAGAAAAAAAATACCTTAAAGGAAAAAAAACTTAGCAACCTAACATAGTATAAATGGAAAGTTTTATTAAAAGATTTAGAGCAATATAAGAATGTCCTGAATTGGGCTGAGAGTATAGTTCACTGCTAGAGCACATCTGAGGCCCTAGGTTTGATCCCCATAAGTCAGCAGGAATTTTTTTTCACCATTGTTTTTAACATTGTAGAATATATTTTTATTTTAGAAACACTTCAGTTCTGTAGTTGTTAAAATAAGAACATTTTGAAAGGTCTTAAAATTTGTTTTTATGTTGTTAGGAGAACAGTGGTATGTCCTATTATTGATGTGATCAGTGATGATACTTTTGAGTACATGGCAGGCTCTGATATGACCTATGGTGGATTCAACTGGAAGCTCAATTTTCGCTGGTATCCTGTTCCCCAAAGAGAAATGGATAGAAGGAAAGGTGACCGGACTCTTCCTGTCAGGTAATTTGCCAAACACGTTCCTTAAAGTATTATCAGCAGAGTATGGTGAAGCTTTAGGAATCATATTAAAAGAATTGTGTGCTTTGAGAAACACAAGGAATTGTATACTTTATATGTAGTTATCATATTTCAGTTATTTCAATATTTGAGAAAAGACATTTTCCCATGATAAATTAATAAAATTAGAAATTTTTATGTGTTAGGTAACTCTAGTGCATATGGGAAATGATAACATCTTAATGTATATTTTTTCATTCCAATGGGGACATTATCAAACTTCCTCTTAATTGTGTCAGTATGTTGTTAAATATTTACCTAAATCTGGGTCCTTGTACCATAATGTAAAGTTTTTACTCAAACTCATACAATAATGATGATTCTTATTTACTGACTAGGAAAACTTGTTTCAAACATTAAAATTACTAGAATTAACACAAAACATTAAAAAAATCCATGATTATATTGTTCAGTTTTTCTTTGATCCACAGTTAATCAATACAGTTTTTCTTCAGAAAAGGATAAAAACCTTCTTGCTGTTTAGGACATGGTATGGAGATCTTTGAGTTCTCTGCACCATCCTAGGATTTATCCCAAATATATCCACATGTCACAGAAACAAGCTTTCACTTTCTCCTCTTTGGGCTTCTCAGATCTTATTTCCTATGAATTTATGTCTGGTTCTGGCAAAGTTGATGAGATTTCTCACTATATTCTTTTCTCAAGTATGCAAGGGACTTTTCCCCGTTAGCTGTTACTTCAGTTTTATGTCTAAATTAGTTCTTACACCTTTTAAAATTGATGAATTTCTTTGAAATCTATCTGTTCTTCATTCATCTTTTCTAATGGGAAAAGTACACTTAGAAAAGATTTAACAGGCCAAGAAACCCCTATTCTAAAACGATAACTATAGACATTGGCCTTTTGCATTTTACAAGAGTTTACCTTTGGGGCTGGGAAGGTGGCTCAGTGGTAGAGTGCTCGCCTTGCATGCCTGAGGCCCTGGGTTCAATTCCTCAGCACCACATAAGCAAAAAGAAAAAAGCTAGAAGTGGCGCTGTGGCTCAAGTGGTAGAGCGCTAGCCTTGAGTTGAAGAGCTGAGGGACAGCGCCCAGGCCCAGAGTTCAGGCCCCACGACTGGACCCAAAAAAAAAAAAAAAAAGAGTTTACCTTTTTCTCATTCTTCCTCTTCCAAAATCAAAATAGTACAAACTATTTTTTTGAAAAAATGTTTTTACTAGAAAAGCAAATACTACTGCTACCATAAGCAGAGTGTGGGAAGAAGGTTTGCAGGGGTGATCACTTCATCTTAAAATACAAATCTTTATAGTGTCCTTGGATCCTAGAACTTAATGATTTTTCTCCTAGACATAAGTCCATTTTTTCTGTTCTCATCCTTCATGGAAATCAAAGGATTAACTGATAGTCATTTATTTAAGTACTTTATTATCATTTCTCTGTTTACTTCTGCCTATTCCCTCCTCCACCCTACCTGTTGAATACCTAAGCTTTTTCAAAAAACCTTCTGTAGTATAGGAGTATACTGATTTTATTCTATGCTTTATCTCTTGCATTCCCTAAAAGTTTCTATTAGGCTTAGGAAAGAGCGTCATTGTTTTCATCATTTTAATCTTATGTCTCTGCAGCATTTACTACCTTATAAACCTGGCATTTTGACCCTAACCTGAGTCTTGTTGGTTAAAATAGCCAACTATCTTTATAGTTGGTAGGAACTATGGATCACAATCAAATGGAAAGGATTATAAGACATAGCTTCAGTTAAAGGAGCAAAATCACTTAGGACCAAAAACAGAAAAGTGCTTAAGACAGAAATGTCAGGTGGAAGATGTCTGGTGACAGTAGTCCAGCATTCAGCATGAATATGATTGGATGAAACGTGAAACTGAAAACCCTTTGGAGCCTATAAACATTTCTGGAAAGTGTGACAATAAGCATTATTTTATAAATTATAAAACTTCAATACTTTTTTAAAGGAAAAGAACTATTTTGACTCACACAACTGCAATACTTAAAAACAAAAGCTGCTAATAAATTTAAAATCTTTAAAAATTAATGGTATAGTATTATGATTGAATTTCAGAACACCTACAATGGCAGGAGGCCTTTTTTCAATAGACAGAGATTACTTTCAGGAAATTGGAACATATGATGCTGGAATGGATATTTGGGGAGGAGAAAACCTAGAAATTTCTTTTAGGGTAAGTTCCCCTTGGAAACAGTTTTGTTTAACCTCATACTTAACCTCAAATATAGATATGCATTGATTATACATGTTATCTCTAAATAAAAAAATGAAAATGAATTTAACCTGTCTCCAGAGCCATGGGCCTATAAAAAGTTTAGTGACACTATTAAGGATTAATTTTAAACTGTTTAAACACATAATCCAATTTTAATAGTCCAGCTATTTTTAAAAAACCAACAAAAGCAATAAGTTAATTTATATACATTACTTTAGTGTACCTGATTGCCAAAAGCATATGCTTTTTTAAAAATAAGTTTTTTATTGTGAAAATACTGTAGAGAGGGGTTACAGTTACATAACCAAAGTAATGAATACATTTCTTATCAAGCATTGTTGCCTCCTTCTTTGAAAGCATATGCTTTTTATCTGGTATAAAAATTGTTTCCTTATAAAAAAAAATCCAGTCAACTTTATTGGATGTATAATACACACACACACACACACACACACCACCACCACCACCACCACCACCACCACCCCTCCCCGCACAAGGGCTTTTGAGCTTTTTTGCTCAAAGTTAGTGCACTACCACATGAGCCATAGTTCCACTACCAGTTTTTTTGGTGTTTAATTGGAAATAAGAGTCCTATAGACTTTCCTCCTTGGACTGGCTTCAAACTGGCTTGAAACTCAGACCGCAGCCTCTTGAGTACCTATGATTAACAAGCATGAGTCATCAGCACTCAGCTATTACTGTATATTATTTATTTATTTATTTTGTTAGTCATGGGCTTGAACTCTGGGCCTGAGTGCTGTCCCTCAGCTCTTTAGCTCAAGGGTAGTACTCTACCACTTGAGCCACAGTGCCACTTCTGATTTTCTGGTGGTTTATTGGAGATGAGTTTCATAGCTTTTCCTGCCCGGGCTGGCTTTGAACCGCGATCCTCAGATCTCAGCCTCCTGAGTAGCTAGGATTAGAGGCATGAGCAACGGCACCCTGCTTACTGTATATTTTTTAAATCAACTTCTGACACATAACTATAATAGAAACCACATTGAAGTGCATTATAATTGAACCCAATCAATCATTCTTTTTGTTAAAGTTAAGGGATCCACCTTAGGTTCTGTCCAGGAACAACATTTTATGGTCCTGGGAAACTTTAGAAGTGAATATTTTGTGAAATCAAAATGTACTTTTTACTTATAAATTTTACATTCTTAAAAAGTAAATTTTATTGGTACTATTAATGTATTGTACAGAAGAACTACTATTTCATAAGGCAAGTAATGAGTACATTTCTTTTCTGGACACTGTCAACCCTTTCTTTTACTTTCCCCCAAAATGTAATTTTTTTTTGTGGGAGCCACCAGTTGATGGGGTTTGAACTCAGGACCTAGGCATTGTCCCTGAGCTCTTCTTGCTCAAGGTTAGTGCTCTGTGGCTCACTTGCCACAGCTCTACTTCTGGCTTTTTTGTGATTAATTGGAAATAAGAGTCTCATAGACTCTGCTGTCTGGGCTCGCTTTGAACCTTGATTTTCAGTTCTCAGCCTTCTAAGTAGCTGAGATTATAGACGTGCGGCATTGGTGCTTGGCCATAACAATTTTTTTTTAATTATAAGTAGTTAAAAAAATTTTTAGTTACAGAAGAAAATATATTTTGAAAGGAGAGAGGCTACATTGACTTAAGGTCATAAGTTCTTATTTGATCTTTCACTTTTTTTCTTTTTTTGTCTTTTGGTTTTAATTTCATTAAGTAGCTGTACAAAGAGGTTACAATTCCATAAGTCATGTTATGAGTACAGTGCATCTTGATCAAAGTCACCCCTTGATTTCTGTCACTTCTTTTTTATTTTTATTCTAACACAAAGAACAAAATAATTTTATCACTATTTCACTTAGAACTCATGATGGATCTGGTTTAGATCCCTAGGGTTTATTTAATGTACAAGTAGTGACAAAGGTTTAAATAGGAGGGAACTGAAAAGAATCTGACTGGATTCTCAGTTAACTTGCACTTCTTTTAAAACCACAAACTACATTAGTCACTATATTATAAATACAGCATTTCTTAAACATTTCAATAGTGTATTCTTGTTAATAAGAGCTGTTTATAATTTACCAGTTTGAATGTGTGATGCTCTTATGAGTCATAAAATTTAGAAAAAGTCTGTTCTACATCTCACTTCTTTGATATCTTTAGCTTTCAGCCTATCTTTTCTGTTTTTTAATCTTTTCATTTGGTTTGATCAAATCCAAAAATTAGAGAAACATTTGGTACTAAGGAAGTACTGGCTTTTTAACCAAAAGTAAGAGCTCTACTTTAGGCACTACTTTCTATGAAATTTCAACTATGAAATTCAGTAGATGTGATCAATTTTTTAAAATGTCAATGTTCAGCATGGTCTTTGCTGTGTTTTTAGATTTGAGAATGAGGCGATTTGAAAGGTTTTTACCAGTAGCTACAGATTTTCCATAAAAGCCAAACCCCTATTCAAATGAAAAGACCAAGATGAATTTTTCTTGGTTACTGAGCAGTGTCTTGCTGTTTTCAGATTTGGCAGTGTGGAGGAACTTTGGAAATAGTTACATGCTCACATGTTGGGCATGTGTTTCGGAAAGCTACACCTTACACGTTTCCAGGTGGGACTGGGCAGATTATCAATAAAAATAATAGACGACTTGCAGAAGTGTGGATGGATGAATTCAAGAATTTCTTCTATATAATTTCTCCAGGTTAGTTTATTTTGCAGTGGAAGTATAAGACTGTACCTTTCTTGTCCTTGGTTCTAATGTATTCTGAGGAGAAGCAGTGTGGATGCAAAGCTTTGGAAGACCATTGTAAAGAATATTGAAACCATAATAGCAAAGTGCTTGGCAGAATTCACAATAATATATTATTAGTATAATATGCAATTACCCAGCCCAGGTGTTTAACAACATGCTATTTTTTAGATTCAATTGTAGCATTTCACATTTATATCTGTGGTTTCATCTTCCTAATTTTCAGTCATTTTCCTGGCTTGCATGGCCTTTTCTGGGTATTTAACTTTTTTATCCAACATAAGAAAACCACTGCTGTACAGCAGGTCATGAACATTCTCATAACTGGGCCTTGATGCCATCATACAAGGCCTTTATCTAACCATCAAGCATTACAGGACCAGAGTTTTAGAACGTGTTTCAAGGGACTTCTCTCCAAGAACTTTCCTCAACTATTTAGTGTTTGAAGGGTACCATTGTTTCATCAGGAAGAAATCTGCCTAGCATTGTTACTTTTCTGTCCTCATCTTTCACAGTTCTTTTACTACAAGACTATACTGTGGCAGTGGGCATGATTCAATAATATAGAAGGGAGAACTGATTGGAAACAGTTGTACTGTTTAATAGCTCTTGATTCTTTGTTTTTACCTTAACGTGCATTAAAGCTTTCTGATCCCATATAGCATACATTTGTATATAAGTTTATTAGTTGGTGCTTTAATCTTAAATTTTATTTTTTTTAAGTAAAACATGTTAATGTCTTCCTTGTAAGATATTTTGTAAGATACATTTATGTCTACAAGATGAATTTATATTAGTCACATATCACCCAAATGATAACAATATTACCACTCAGCTGCTAGAACCAACATAAGTAGATGTGAGTTGTCTAATAAACTCTAATAATTCAGAGTTGATTATTTCTTTCAACAGGTGTTACAAAAGTAGATTATGGAGATATATCATCAAGACTTGGTCTAAGACACAAACTACAATGCAAACCTTTCTCTTGGTACCTAGAGAATATTTACCCTGATTCGCAAATTCCACGTCACTATTTCTCACTGGGAGAGGTAAAAATATATATGTATATACTTTTATTTTTAATTAAAAAGTGGAAGTTAACCTTTCAAGTTCTTACAACACTTAAGTATCTTTGTTTTAAAATTACATAACCTCAAGTGTGAGAAAGTTCTTAGCAGTGAGAGTCTGCTGCAGACTCCTTTTGAATTTTTGTTTTATTTTATTGAAGTAAGAATGCTCTGCATGTTATCTTTTAGACCTTGTCCAAGAGCTTAAATTCTTTTTACATCCTTAGATGTGTTACTTTAACAAAATGTCATTTACTTGTGATCAAGTACTCCTAATTCTACTGTCCCTTCTTTTTTTAGTCTGTGTCAAAGCTTGGGAAATTTTAAAGTCAAGATAAATTGTAAAGAATTAGCGAATGCCAGGCACCAGTGGCTCACACCTGTAATCCTATCTACTCAGGAGGCTGAGATCTAAGGATCATGGTTCAAAGACAGCTAGGGTAGCAAAGGCTGTGAAATTCTTTTATCTCCAGAAAACCAGAAGTGGCACTGTGGCTCAAATGGTAGAGTACTAGCCTTGAGCTGAAGAGCTGAAGAACAGCACACAGGCCCAGAGTTAAAGCCCCACAACTGACCAAAAAAAAAACAAAAACAAAACAAGGAAAGAAAGACCATTCATAATAAATTGTATTTTTGGTACATGTTTTTTTTTTCCTTTGAGAGTTTCAATTTTTTGTTTTGGACAAGGAAATTGGAAAGAATATTGTAAACATGTTTGTTTCTAGTGATGCCTTTTGTTACTTTTATTAATTCTTATTAATTCTTAGGATTGGTTAATAAAAATTAGCAATTTAGCCAGGCACTGGTGGTTCACGCCTGTAATCCAACGTACTTAGGAAGCTGAGATCTGAGGATCACGGTTCAAAGCCAGCTCTGGCAGGAAAGCCTGTGAAACTCTTGTCTCCAGTAAACCACCAGAAAACCAGAAGTGGTGCTGTGGCTCAAGTGGTAAAGAGTGCTATCCTTGAGCTAAAAAGCTGAGGGATAGCGCTCAGGCCCAGAGTTCAAGCCCCACAACTGACCAAAGAGAAAAAAAATTTAGCAACTTAGTTACTAAGTATTTTAGAATGGATTTAAATGAAATAAGCCATAGACAAAGTATATATATATATATATATATATATATATATATATATATATAAATAATTCTACTTATGTCAATTATATAAAGTTGTCAAATTTATAGAAACAGAAAGTAGAATAGTGGCTACCAGAGGCAGGAGGGAGGTAGGAAAGATGATTTATTTAATAAGTATTTAAAACTTTGAGCTTGCAAGATAGAAGAGTTCTATGGATGTATTTCACATCTGTGTGACTTTATATTAATACTGCTAAACTGTATAGTTGGAAACAGTTAATATAGTAAATTTTTCTTATCTGTGAAAGACAGAGCCAGTGTCATATGTAAATGTCTGGGAGAAGAGATCCAAAGCACAGTGGGGAGGATATTGATTGGGGGATGGATGAAAGCAGTTCATTCTTTGGAATAGAATGAAGAGTGGAAGGGATAGGACAAGTGTGAGTAAATGTATCTTTTCTTTTCCAAAGACTTGATTCTACTGGTGAATTTAAGACTGAGAGAGAAGGAAGTGTGTTGGCACTTGGAGTCTGGAGAAAAATATGAAACAGAACTTTATACAACTTCTTAAAGATAATAAAAATATAATGTAATAAAAGTATAGGATGTAAAAGAGCAAATAGATCAGAGGGGCGCCAAATAGTGGTAAATTAAAACTGTTCAACCTGGTTGTATTTTCTCTACGACAGGCAGGCACAACCTCTCCAGTTTCCCATTACTGAGGCTATTCCAGGGTTGCCTTCAGCTCCCTAACCTCTGAACTTTGTTGTCACTTAAGAAATTCAGCCTCACACAAAGCGAGGGGCATGTTGCGTTTCTCGAGCCTCCACGTGATCCTCACTGACTTCTCAGTAGTGAATGTTTCCATTGCTATAGCTCTTTCCAGTGAATAAAGGCCCAGAATGGAGGATGTGCTGTGGTAAGATTTAGAGTAATCACTCTTGTAACATGATGTAGAATAGGAAATGAGTTGGTTTTTATTTTTCCTTCTAACTGACCCAGTTTTGAACAATGCCTAGGCACTATTAGTTGGATCAGAATGTAGGCATTTTACAAAGAGACACTTGTCTTACCCTTCATAGATAATTGTCAAGACAAGCTGGCCTCTTACCTGTCTCCTGCCAGCTGGCTTTCTGGTGAGTCACAGATTTTACCATCTGTGGCCTTCTTGGTTAACTCAGCTTTGTGGACCCATAATTTAATACCAAATCACATCATCTTGTTGAAAAGTCTGGTTTCTAGGGCACAGTTTTTAGCAAGCATCTATGGCATTGCAGCTGGGGATTTTATTCTTATGATCAATTGATCATAGCTTCATTCATGTGAGCCTTCCTTTGCCAGTGTCTAGAAATTAGCCTTCCAGAGAAGGCAGTGCTTCAAGGACCCAGGAAAACCTGAATTCATAGAATTTAGAGTAGAAAGAGAAACTGGGAAATAGAAATATGTCTAGACTAATAATCACAGTTTAGAGTATGTGTATTCAACCAAGCCTAATATCCCTAACTTTTGTAGGACTTGGACCAAATGCATGTATTTGGTTATAATACCTAATAGTTAATTCAGGAATTAGATATTGCAAATAACCACAAAAAGCAAACAGTCCAGATCATTTGTTGCCAAATTAGCCATGTTCATGGATTGACCAATCACTTCCCCAAGCAGATGTTATAATTCTAACATTTTTATTTGGTACATACTTTATTTTAGGAACCAATCTGAATATGTCACCAATATGAACTCATTCTGACCTTAACACTGTAGGATAGACGTCATTATCTACATTTTATACATAAGTAAATTAAGACAGACATAGATTTAAACAGCATAGCTAAGGTAACAACCACAAAACAGAAAAAATAAATGTTGAACATGGGCATCTGGTTGAAAGCTTGTGCTCTTTTTTCTTTTTTTTTTTTTTTTTTGGTCAGTTGTGGGGCTTTAACTCTGGGTCTGGGTGCTGTTCTTCAGTTCTTCAGCTCAAGGCTAGTGCTTTACACTTGAGCACAGCGCCATTTCTGGTTTTCTGGTGGTTTATTGAAGATAAGAGTTTCATGGACTTTCCTGCCTGGGCTGGCTTTGAACCATGATCCTCAGATCTCAGCCTCCTGAGTAGCTAGGATTACAGGTGTGACCACCAGTGCCCAGCTAAGCTTGTGCTCTTTTTAATACAAATAATATGGTCTTTCTCAACTCTAGAATTTTCTTTGTAGACAAGAATAAATAAGTGAATCTAGATTACCTAATACTAGATTCAGTACTATATTCACATAACTCTTACATTGTCAAACCTAATGCAGGTAAAACCGGGAATCTGGTACCCTGAGGACACTATTGGAAAAGCTAACAAACTAAAGCTCTAATTTCTACAGCAGAAATCAATGCTTTCACAAGTATTTTCACAAGTGTAGTAGTCATAATATCTAAGTTCATCCTTCAAAAGTGGTATCTAATTTCATCCTTCAGAGTGAAATTGAAGAGTTACTGGCTCTGTGGATAAGGAAAGAAAACAAGTATTGGGTGCCTTCTGTGTGTTAGCCGCTGCTGAAGCCCCTGATTTTTGTTGTTGTTGTTGTTATTGTTGATTTGTTTGTTTTTTTGGTCGTGTGGGCACTGTCCTTCAAGGCTAGCACCCTACCACTTGAGCCAGTGCCACTTCTGGCTTTTTTCTGCTTATGTGGTGCTGAGGAATCAAACTGAGGGCCTCCTGGATGCAAGTCAAGCACGCTACCACTGAGCCAGTATTATCTCACTTAGAACTCTGTTTGGGTTTTTTTTATTATTATCTTTTTTTTACTGAAGAGAAATTGGAAGGTGATGATCCCCAAAGATACTTGATTAAGCAAGACACAGGAGGAAAAGAGTAAACTTTGTGACAAAATGTTTTTAAAATACTAGGTTTTTATGTCTTAACTTTATATATTCCTGTACCATTATTCCCCATCCCTCCCAAGAATGACAGTATTAGAAAACTGTCTGAAGTCCTTCAGTAAATAAACCCACGTAAAATTGGTTTAATTGGTTTTCAAAACACATTTGCTTACCAAGCCTCTCTTTTAGTACATATGTTACCATCTTGCATGATGGTGTTCTTTAGATCAGGGTTTTTTTTTTGGAGGGGGGTCTGGTCGTGGGGCCTGAACTCTGGGCCTGGGCACTGTCCCTCAGCCCTTCAGCTCAAGGCTAGTGCTCTACCACTGGAGCCACAGCGCTACTTCCGGCTTTTTTCTCTTTGCTTATTTGGTGCTGAAAAATCGAACCCATGGCCTCAGGCATGCAAGGCAAGCGCTCTACCACTGAGCCACCTTCCCAGCCCCTAGATCAGGGTTTTGGGAGTCACTCTCTTGGAGTCAGTAACCACCTTAAAGTCTCCTAGTTAGTAATGGTAAAGTTAGAATGAGACTGAGGTCTCTATATCCTCACAGCCTGTACTCTTACCCTGTAGATACTGTCTTCTGACCAATATGTCATGTATTACTGCTATTGAAGTAGAAAAGTTACTGTTTCTAATAGTTTCTTAACATTATGACATTTTTAGAATGTAGGCAAGTTAGTTGCCTAAGATTGTTTTGGCTTGACTCAACAACATATCTTAACTACTGTAAGAAAAAATGTTTCTTTATAGTGTTTCAGGACAGTAAATGTAACCTACTTTCTCTTATGGTTATTCTTCTTGGTATACAACTTCTTCCTTTTCTTAGCACCACTGTGAAGTCTCAGTGGATGGTTAAGAGTAGATTTCTTTTGAAGGTTGTAGTAAGACTAAGCACGTCCATCTTCTAGTTGCTTACCAGCAAGAGACCAGTTTTTGCTGATCAGGAGAAATTCCTTGCTTATCCTGGATGTTGGGTCTTCATATTTTCTCCAGTATCTCAGGGTTCAACCTCAAAGATAATGGGTTTTTATGAAGATCTGAGTCTTGGCAGTGGTTCCACTGAAGACTGAAAATCAGAAAGGAATCTGTGGGGAATACTTGAGTTAAACAAGGAAGAGAACTGACTATGCTTTAGTTATTGGTAGAAGTTGGGACTGCCTTTTATGATGCTATACTAAAGAAATATTTATTTGGTCTGTTTGTTAACTGTATGCCTGTATTTCCTTTTGCTTTTCTTGTTATTTAATATATGTTAGTGTGCTTATTCTCAAGTATATTTTGCTTAAGAACAATTCAGTGTAGTCTCAAACTATGTTCTATTCTTAGAAATATTAGCAACTCTATGGGAAAAAGCAGTTGAATTCATAAAAGCCTGGAAAAAAAGTTGTGTTTTTCAGGCATAATTGAATCATATTAAAAGGTCTATGGGGGCTAAAAAAAAAAAAAAAAAAAGGTCTATGGGGGCTAAAGTATAACTCAGTGGTAGAGAGCTGCTTTGCATGTGCAAAGCCCTGGGTTTGAAAGAAAGAAAAAGAAAGGACTATTAGCTTACTCTTGATAATAATTTATCCCCAGGACTTCTCAGAAGGTACAAACCAAACTTTACACTTGACTTTTCCAAGTGTCTTAACGATGTGATTATTAACATGTTATGAATCATTTTTGATCTTTGACAGGAGCTCCTCACAAATGATGACTTTCTTTTTTCTATTGTCAGCATATAGATCTGTGCATCCAATGAGTAGTTAGCCACTAGCCACATTAAATTTAAATCTATTGAAATTACTCAGGTCCCCAAATTATAGTAGTCACATGCAAAATGTTCAGTGGACATGTGACTACTAGCTACTACATTGGACAGCATAAATACATACATTTCCATTTTTACAAAAAATGATATTTGGACCATCTGGAGACACTCAAATAGCACAGAGATTCTCTCTCTGTCTACCTTGTACAGTTACTTTGTTAATGGAAGGTAAAGCATCCGTATTTGGCTTGTTTTCAAAAACCAGAGGTTATGCTTACCCTTTATAGTCCTCATTCCTGATTTAGAGTTATCCTTTAAATATGGTACGTCCTCTCATTGGATGTACCATATTAAATTCCCAAGGGATCCTGTCAATAGTTATTTTCCTCGTAGGTTAAGTAGCGAATCAAAGCCATGATACTCTGACATTCCTATTTCAACCAGGAAAACCTCCTATTTTCCATATCAAATCAGCCATTTAGTTTGAGTCCCTAGTGATTTAGAATTATATAACTACTGAATATGTTACCAAACAGGGAGCCATCTTCTTTCCAAGAGAACCATCAAGATATATGGAAGATGAGCAAACTAAAAGGAATTGGTAGTGTTAGGAGACTGCTAAACATTTAGCTATACACTATGTACATCAAAAAGTGGGATATAGCCCGTAAAGACTGGGAAAACTCCAGAAAGAAGCTACTCTTCTTTGTGTTGACCTTCAGAATACACTTTAGGTTATTGGAATATTCACACTTTTTTTTAAGACGTTTCAACAAGAGACATTTATCTGGAGCCATCCTTAGTGTTACATTCTTGCATATGTCAGGCATGGTGGTACACATCTATAATTGCAGCACTTGGGAGATAGAAGCAGAAGTATCTGGAGTTCATGGCTAGCTTGGACTACATACTAAATCCTTTCTTAAAGGGAAAAAAAAATCTTTCATATATTTTACCTTTTCCCTAATAATATGCCTATGTTTTTGTCATTATATATTTACAAATGCTATTATTTCTTATTCTTTATAGAGTGTCACATATTGAATAACCTATAATCCATTAATATATCAATAAAAATGCTGAACCAAGTGTATGTTACCACTATTTCTTCTTTCTACACTTTATACTAGAAAGCTGATAACTTGTTTATATGAAGCATCAGATGCAGTATCCCATAGAAAGTGTTCCTAATTTTTCCCTTCTCCAGAACCTTTTCAGATTTAACTCTCTCCCTCTTAGAATCCAAAAGGACTAGTCTCCTGGTTTTTAATGTCATGGGAAAAACACTCCATAGATGAGGTAGTCCACATATATTCTCACAAGGAGAGAAAGAGATACTCCTTTTTTCAAAACCGCATCTTCTAAGCCAGGCAATGAAGAAGAATTCACTGGAGAGTGTACCACTCATTCGCCTACAAAGAAGTCCAAGTTCATTGAGGCAAATAAGCTTCTCTGCACTCCAGTGTTAAAGCCACTCAAGGATTGGAACATTTTATCTGTTTTCCAAAATCTTAGTGCTTTACTACAATATTGGCATAATATACAAATTATGAAAGCAAACAGCTTATTTTTAGCTTTAACGTTACTCCACTTTATCATATAAAACTACATGTTTTTCTGTCTATACAGCATGACAGAAGTAACCTGCCACACCTCTCCCCTATGACCCTGTGGTACTATTGTACCACCTATGGGCTTAGTAGATTGCCAAATGCTTTTAAGTTGCAGGTGTTTTGAGGAAACAAAACAGCAAGGGATGTTGCTTAAAATATTCTCCTAATTCTGATGGTTGATTCAGGATCCTTTATATGAATAACAAGTATCTAATGAGAAAGTAAAGTTTGCACCATAGCATGTCTGTGATTTCAAGTGCCAAATCATTTGGCAAGAAAATGCCGAGGAAGTCCACTGAGAAGTCACTAGAATAACTATAAAATGTAATACCCTTATTTTGGTTGATACAGTTGTCTTGAATGAGTCATTCAGTTGCTTTAAATTATTAGAATAGAATTTACTGAAATAAACACAAATCCTAGAGGAACAGTGTAGAAGAAATAAAAAATAATTAGAACATGATAGATTTCCCCTTTAAACATAGATTTTATGAACAGTTTTGGAAAACATTTCTAAACCAGAGAATCTTGGGGAACCATGCAGTGGTTTTCCCCCCACCTATAAGCCACCTAGGAGTCTTGCAATCATCTGAGCTCAGAGTGACCTTTAGTTGTATGTGTGGCAATTCATCTAGTTAACCTTTCTTAACTCCTGATATTTTTATTGTTGTCTCATAGATACGAAATGTGGAAACAAATCAATGTCTAGATAACATGGCTAGAAAAGAGAATGAAAAAGTTGGAATTTTTAATTGTCATGGTATGGGAGGTAATCAGGTGAGTATCTTAGTAAACTTTTTTAAAAGTAACTTTTTAAAAGTTTTAACTTTTCCTTTTTGTTTTATCCCTTTTATTCCATGACATTATCCTGGAAATATTCTTAGATGTCCCGAGAAAATAATAAAGACCATTAGGTTAAAGGAGCCTTTAATCTAATCATTTCTTTTAAACAAAGCATTTGTAAAAATTTCTATGTATTGACACTGCTGAACACAAGTTTTCTTTTGTCCTTGTTAGGCAAACAAATAACAACCTTTGATACTAGTGAGCACAAAGAACGAAATGATTTTACTTTCCTCTGTGGAAACCTTGAGGAAACTTTTCTGCATCATTTTATTCTCCATTATTTTAATAAAGTGCAAAAGTCATGTATCTTGAAAGACCTGTATTTTCCCTGCTAGATTATTGACATCTGAAATGCTATAATTAGTTTGTTTTTACTATTAAAGCTTACATGTGTGCATTTTTGTTTTCTAGGTTTTCTCTTATACTGCCAATAAAGAAATTAGAACAGATGATCTTTGTTTGGATGTTTCCAAACTTAATGGCCCAGTTACCATGCTTAAATGCCACCACCTAAAAGGCAACCAACTCTGGGAATATGACCCAGTGGTAAGTTATCTAGTTTTGAGTAGAAATAAAAAAAATTACAAGTGTCATTGGGCATATTTATATTTTTATTGCTAAGATGGTAAATATTAGCATATAGTTAAGATAGCCATTGGACATGGCCTGAATATTTTGTTCCAATTCGTCCTTTGATGCCAGGCTACTGCTATTTTGTGTGTGACTGCCTCACATGTTGAAAAGTGAAGAGTAACATAGTTGTGGTGACAACCCAAATTTTTCTTAATTTGAAAAGGTCCTATTTTTAAGCTGATAAGAAAAAAACCAGCATATCAATTGGGCCCTAAAAGATCTACTTATAGTAGCTTAAACAAACAGTTCTATTATTTTTACATAAGTCTGGAGTGGATTCAGTGGCACTGTGCTGTCTGGGATAAGATACTTTAACATTCTCAGCTTCATCATGTAGCTACTGCAACTCACATTTTCACATTCCAACTCAAGGCAGAAAGAAAAGGAAAGGAGGAATATTTCATTGCCACATATGATGCTCTTTTCCTGAAAAGCAAAAAAAAACTTTTCCAGGAATCCTCTTTAGTAAACTGTTTATCATGGGACAGAAATATAGTCCAAAATGACGACCAACAACAAGGAAGGCTAGGGAAGCAAGCATTTGGTTTTTCTAATATTTATAGTGAGAATAACAAAGACAAAGATTAGGAATGGCTTTTGGCTAACCAATCAGCGCAATATACAACAGTTTTTCTAAAAGTAAATGTTTGGTTAGAATGTAAGAAGCTGGAGATAGTTTGGAGTATTTAAAAAGAATTAGTTATGTATATAAAGTGTTGAAACTTAAGGATCATTTTACAGCGTTTCTCCTGAAATAAAATCTTACACAGTGGTTTCTCCCAGAGGCAAACTCTTAAAAGAAAAGTTTATTGCTCAGATATCTACCGGGGAGCACCTTTATTAATCAGTAGCTGTGAAAAAAATGGAAAGGCAAAATTGGACAAAAGGAAAATTCAAATTGCAATACTTGACCCAGTAGCCTGAACTTGACAGCATAGAGAGCTCTGAAGGGAAACAGCCCATCATAACTGCCCTATGTTCATCCATTGGAAACATAACACCTTGGATAAAGAACCAAGATGTCAACATTCTGTAATATAAGCCTCAAATTGTGAAATCTTAGATCAAAAGAACTTCAAAAATAAGATCCAGCAAACTGTTTATATGAGTAGAAGTTGAAGGCCTTATCTTATGGAAATTATAAAGCTGAACTAGCTATTCAGAAATAGGTTGGAAGATCTTAAATGATCTTTATCCATTATACACCATTGTACTTACTCAATTGCTTTTCCCATTATAGCTCTTGATGTTTTCTTTAAATATAATTTCTCTGTCATGTGAGCTACAATTCCACTTCTGGATTTGGGAGACTTAGCTGGAAATAAGAATCTCCCAGATTTTACTACTTGATCTAGCCTCAATGATTCTCAGATCTTAGTCCTCTGAGTAGCTAGGGTTACAGGTGTCAGCCCCCAGCACCTGGATTTCCTTAGGTGCTCATTTCTATAGGGGAATTTAGCAATTATCAAAAATAATCGCTGAGATGTTTTTCTCTCCATCACTTTCAGAAATTAACCCTGCAGCATGTGAACAGTAATCAGTGCCTGGATAAAGCCACAGAAGAGGATAGCCAGGTGCCCAGCATTAGAGACTGCAATGGAAGCCGGTCCCAACAGTGGCTTCTTCGAAACGTCACCCTTCCAGAAATATTTTGAGACCAAATTTACAAAAACGAAAAAAAGGATTGACTGGGCTACCTCAGCATACATTTCTGCCACATTCTTAAGTAGCAAAAAAGGAAAAATACTTTCCTCTTCTGCAGGATGTAAGGTTTATCAGCCATTAAACTCAGACTTATAGCTTTTCACTAGCTGTGAACCAGCCTTCCTGTCCAAGGACGTGAAAATGCATAGTAGTGAGACTGTGCACAATGATGTTTACAAGATTGAAAGAGTCTTTCATCAAGAGTCATGGGAAAGAATATTCAGACACACAATCAACAAAATATGCTTTCTGGAAAGCTGCACCCTCTATGGTTCACTTGCACACCAGTAATTTCTGCTGAATGTGCTCTCACGAAGAAGAGATTTCCAAGATTTTTTTCCTAATTAGGACTGGTAGCCAGTATATTAAATATTGATATAAAAATAAATGAGAAGGAACTGAAAGAACCAGATTTAGAATCATGAAAACAACATTTTTACAACAATAAAAAACGATATTAAACAGGGTTTAAAAGAAATTAAAACAGAACTATGAGAAGTACAATTTGTTATAGTATAGTATCAAATTTCTATATAGATTTTATACCTCAGTGGGGAAAAATAACTGATTCCAGTGATACTCATTTTGTTTTCATCTGTGATAGTCATGGATGCTTTTATTTTCCTTGGGGTGCTGGGCAAAAAGCTCTCTGAACATAGTTTTAATTTCTTTCTATAATATTTTTATTTGGTTGTGGACTGTTGGAATTGTAATTTTTAATTGCCTTCTTAAAAATGGACATTTAACATGTCTGGTCTCAACTGAACAAGTTAGATATCTCAGTTGTTCTTGGGTCAACTGGCTTATACACTGAGACACACACACACACACACACACACACACTATTATCACAACTTTATTAACTTCATCCAACTGATTATGCTTAATACCCAGGATTCATACTACTGTAGTACAGATTTGTTTCACAGCAATAAATCTTCAGTTCTTTATGACTCCACTTAACAAAAGGCTTACAAGGAGTGATTTATCCTTTGGGTATTTGCAGATAATATATTTGCCAGTTTTGAAATCTTTCTCACTCCATACACAGATGTGCTTTATTGTCAAGTACATATTTAGATTAGATTCTTGAATTGTAACATTGATTTGGTTTTTTAAAAAATAAAATTTGACTGAAAATGTATAATTGGCATTTTTAATGAGTTAGTTGAAGAAGTGCAGCTATTCCATATTGCAGGTTCTGCATTTCTCCCTAAATTCCATGTAGGTTACGTTGATCTTATTTTTCTCTGATTTTTAATACCAAAAAATCAATTGATTACCAAAAGTTTATGTCAATTAAAAGTTAAATTTTTAACTTTCCAGAAACTTGCATTGTGACACTTTCTCCAATATCTAAAGCAATCCATTGACAAAAATGCATATATTTTGCTTGTTTTTGTTAGATTATATTTGATGGTATTCTTTCCTTTGGTTATCAAAGACTCACTGCAGGCAGTGTTAATTCTTGTGCCTAAGAATGTTTCTGAAAGTTACATCACCAATGATAATTGCCAAGTTGATTATATACAGTTTGTTTAGTCAACATCAAGCCTGTAGATGCTTTAGGTGAAGCTATAATACAGAAGGCAAAACTGTCCCAAGGAAATTCAAAATGAAACAGGTACTGGATGGAATTTTATTTCCTACTCCATGAGTTGTGTTAATTCTATTCAGTAGACCTAATGCTTGAAAAAAATTGAATGTCTAATCAATAAATTACTTTCATGCTCAGCATTTCAGGTTTTTGTATTCCAGAATAGCTTGGTATCATTGTTTATTGTAGGAAAGATTAACAGCATTGTGACTTAAGGTTTGGTTTTATTTTTTAAGAGGGATATTTGAGTGCTTTTAATTCATGGGTACTTTTAGAACTTGATAGATAATCCCATTGCTTTTATTTTTCTAATTAAAATATTCCTAAATACCTGTAAAATATAAAATATTCCTCACTAGTTGTGCCTAAAATTGGTGTTATTTGAAGTTAAAATTAATCCCTTTACATCATAGCAATTTGTAGATTAGGCAGAGTATATTAGTATTTATCTAATCTAGTTGTGAATTGAGATAAAAAAGACTGAGTGAAAAAGAAAAATAGATACATAGGATTATTTGACCATAAGAAATGAAATGTGACAAAGATAAATTTGAATCTCACAAATCTTTCACTATACTTCATTCACAGTCTACTTTAATATATTTCTCTGTCCTAATTCTTGACAGATCCTGCTATTCACTATCTGTAAATGGACAATACCATGTAGGCCATGTCTTCATTTGTCCTGTCAAACAGTTAGCTGAAAAAAACACAGTCCCTATTTTATAAGGACTTGGTGCTCTCCTCATCTTTTAAGAAGTATATACCAAAGGAAATTTAATGCTCCTCAAAGAAGAAAATTTGGAAGGGAATGTTTCTGAAGTAATCATTGTAAGAGATATACACAAAGAGCTAAGCTACTTTTTATACTGTTTGGAAAATTAGATCTGTTTCTAATTACAGGACCCTTTTTTATCTCTTATTTCTTAAAAGTTCACCTCCCATTTGCTTGATAAATCTATCAGAACTATTTTTTCAGACTAGGAGGCATGTATACAAAACTCAACTGTATAGACAGTAATAAACACTTGAAACTTTAAAATAGCTTTAATATCATTAAGGAAGTCATATCTAGGAAGAAAGTTAAGCAAGATGAAGATGTATAAAAATTCGAAAATGGTGTTGAAAAAAGTACAATAGATGGTTTGAAATATTACGTAATGTTATGATACCAGCCTCCTCCAAATTGATTTATAGATGCAATGAAGTCAAAATCCCACAATGTTTTATTGTAGAAATTGATGTGTGTGTGTGTGTGTGTGTGTGTGTAACAGATACAGGAAAACCGGGATAATGTTGAAGAAGAAAAATAAAATCAGAGCTCTCTTTAGATAGTGGTGAGCTTGGATCATGGCCACTGTCAATAGGAAGACCTCAAGACCAAATTAGAAACCATAACAATGGAAATTACAATGGTAATGCTCCTCAAAATGACATATAAATTCAATTTAATCCCTTAAAAATATTCCAGATGCTTTTTTGAGGCAGAAATTGACAAGTTGATCCTAAACTTCATATCAAAGTTTATGCATGGTATCCAGAATGGCTAAAACAATCTGTTTTTTAAATTTTTTTTTTATTGTGAGAATACTGTACAGAGGAGTTAGAATTACATGGGCAAGATAATGAGTACATTTCTTATCAAGCATTGTTGCCTCCTCATTGTTTCCCCTTCCCATCCCTTCCCATACTCCTCCCCTCCCCTCACCTTATCCTCCCCCCACCCCCTACCAAACTTGTTAAGTTCATTTTTCGACATAACGACTTGTACATCTCATTGTTGCAATGGGTCCACCTGTATCCCTAGTTAAACTATTTGTTTTTTTCCCTTCCCCTCCACAAATTATACCATCATCAAAAACAGTGATGAACGTATGGGTTATACTGTGGGGGAGGGACATACAAAGCAACGTAGAAATCATTTTATAAATATGATAGAAACAATTGCATGAAAGGAGAACAAAACAAAACATTTGAAGACTTATCTTGGGGTTCATTCCTTTTTTTTTTTTTTAAGTTAAAAGTACTCAAAAACTGCTGGGCCTATAATCTTAGCTACTCAAAAAGCTGTAATCTGAGGATTGTGGTTTGAAGCCAGCCAGGACAGAGAAGTCCGTGTGTCTTATCTCCAACTAACTACAAAAAAGCTAGAAGTGAAGCCGTGACTCAAGTGGAAGAGCATTGGCCTTGATCAAAAAAGCTCAATGACTATACCCAGACTCAGTTCAAGCCCTAGTACTGGCACCAAAGAAAATAATGATAATAACACTCCTTGATTTTTTATTGTCGTGTCTCCAATTACTACTGTAAAGCAAGACAGTGTTGTACCGATGCTAAGGAAGATGTAAACTGAATACAGTTAAGAATGCAAAAATAACTCCTAACAACATGGTTGATTGATTTTCAACAAGTGCCAAGAAAATTCAGTGGAGCCGGTTTTTTCAGACTATAGCAAGGAACAAATGTAAAAGAAGGAAGTTGAACCCTTATATATCACCAAATACAAAAATGTAAATGGATCAAATAAATAAGAGCTAAAGCTATACAATCTCTTCAAAGGAAACATTGATATAATCTTCAAGACTTTGAATTACAAAAAGCATCAGCAAGAGTTTAAAGATAAGTAAGTTGAAGTCTTCAAAACTTAAAATTTATGGTTCAGAGGATACCACTAGGGATATAGCTCAATAGTAGGATGTTTGCCTAGCATGTATGAGGCCATGGGGTTGCTATTCAGTATCACAAAAGGGCAAACGGGAGGGGGATTAGGGGAGGGTAGGAGTAGCCGGGGAGCAAAGGACACCATCCCATAAAATGGGACAAAGTATTTGCTAGTCATATATGATAAGGAATTTGTATCTGAGACATGACAAGGTTAAACCAATTTTTAATGAATAGTCATTCTCCAAAGAACATACAGTAATGACCAAACATGAAAAGATGATCTACATCATTAGCCACCAATATTAAAAATACAGTATCATTTATAGTTGCTTAAAAATTTAACGGGAAAAAGTACATATACGGTACATCTATAATGAAACTATCCAGTGATGATGGAATGAAGATCTAAACAAGTGGAGAGAATTCATATACATAGATTGGAAAGTGCAATGTAGTTAAGATGTCAGTTTCCTGAAATAGATGTACAGGTGTGACAATGCACACCAAAGGTTCAGCCTGATTTTTTTTGTAAGTATAAGCAAGATTACAATTTTATGGAGGAGAATAACTGCAAGTTTTGAAAAGAGTGAAGTGGAAAAAAGCAGACTATTCCATTTCAAGATTTATCACCAAATATCCTACTAATGAACTCTCACATAGGTGGCCATGGATCTTCAACAAGAGTGCCAAGAACAGGAGGAGAAAGAATAGTCTGAACAAGTAGCATTGGGAAGGCTGTATCCATGTGAGGAAGAATGAGATAGAACCCTTAGCTTACAGCCATAAATAGTAATGAACTCAGTGTAAACACTTAACAAAAATCCTATGGCAACATGAAGGGGACACGTTTCATGACCTTGGAGTTGGGAATGACTTCTTAAATATGGTACCAAAAGCCCCACAAAAGTAAAACTATACAAATGAGACTGCATCAAACAAAAACTCTGTGAACAAGAGAAAGCAAATCACAAATGATAAATATCCAGAATGTTCAAACAACTATGACTCAGCAACAAAAAGTCAAATAGCCTGATTAAAAAGTAGGCAAAAGGAACTGGGAAGGTGGCTCAGTGGTAGAGTGCTTGCCTTGTATGCATGAGGCCCTGGGTTCAGTTCCTCAGCACTACATACACAGAAAAAGCCAGAGTGGTGCTCTGAATCAATGGTAGAGTGCTAACCTTGAGCTGAAGAGTTGATGGACAGTGCTCCTGTCCAGAGTTCAAGCCCCACAACCTACCAAAAAAGGCAAAAAAAAAAGCCAGGGGCCAGTGGCTCATGCCTGTAATCCTAGCTTCTCAGGAGGCTGAGATCTGAGTATTAAAGTTCTTGGCATTAAAGTTCTTGAGACTCTTCAATTAATCACTAGAAAACCAGAAGTAGCACTGTAGCTCAAAGTGGTAGAGCACTAGCCTTGAATGAAAAAGTTCAGGGACAGTGACCAGAACCTGAGTTCAAGCTCCAAGACCAACAAAGAAAGGGTTGGGTGGGGAGTTATAGGCACAATGGCTCAACCTTACAATTCTAGCTACTAAAGGAGTAGAAGTGTGATCTTGACCAGCCCAGGCAAAAAGAAGTTTGAGAGACTCTTAACCAATAATTGAGCACAGTGAAATACTGTTATTATCCCAGCTATGGGTGAATCACAATGACTAGAAGAAAGCAAAAACAGCAAGATCACAGCCCAGACCTAATGACATAAACCTAGACCCTACCAAAAATAGCCAACATAAAAAGGAGCTAGAGATGTGGCTCAAGTGGTAGAGCATCTGTCTTGCAAGAACAAGTCTCTGAGTTTTAATCTCTAATACTGAAGAGAAACAGAAGAAAAAGACTAGATATTTCTTTTAAAATTCTATCGATCATCAAATATCGAGCAAAACGGTGCAGATAGCACCTTACATTCAATAGGATGACTAGCATTTTTTAAAACACAGTTTAAGTGTCGATGAACTGGAACCATGTATATGAAGGTAAAATTGCATGGAAAATATGGAGGTTCACACATACAAAATTTGATGAGCCATCAAATTTGGATAGCTCTGTATCCAAAAGAATTGAAAGCAAAGTCTCAGATTTTGCCCAGTATTGTCTACTCACTACTCACAATAACAAGTCAAAGCAGCACCAATGTCCACACATGAATGGATGAACTAAAATACTGTGTACATATACAATTAATATGCATTCCTTAAAAAGGAATGCTATATGACACTTCCTTCAGCTGGAGCTCCCTTACTCAGGAAGTGGCACTAACCTGGCTATGAAGGTGTTGCAGGGCAGCATCAGATGACCTGAACCATTTCTGCAAGGTCTGCTTGTTACAGCTATGTGTTTGAGTTTAAGAGGTCACAGCAGTGGATCAAACCAAAGGTAAGCCATTGGGCATCAATCCCTCAAACACCTCCTGTGCCCAGGACTCCCCAGGGGGACTTGCACTGGCAGAGCTGGTGCAGTTTCTGGAACCCATTTAGCCAAC